ATGTGAGCGACCCACATCTCTAGCTGTCCATGCAACAAATATGGTAATAAAATAACTGTAAGAGATCACGGTAGCTGTGGTCAGTGTGGACAATTAGGTACAGAAGATCATCATTTATTTCATTGCCAAGCTGTGAATGAGTTTGGACAATGTTTCTTTGTCTCAACCCCAACACGTTTTGGTGATGTTACTTGTACAGACAAATGTCAAGGAGTAATTAATAACTTTGAATTGATCACAGGCAGAGTTGTACGTGAACTTCATGATTCTTCATGATAATATTTGGAAACTTGTCAGAAGACAATTCTGTTCAATGTGACACTAGCGATGTTAAACCCAAATCTCTCACTAACTATAACTGTTTATATTTCAACGACCTAACAGAAAGTTGATACTCCTACTTTTTGCTATTTCATGAGCGTGTGACCTAAATGTGTACACAGTCACGTGCCACCGGTTGTGTCGCGGAAGGAAACTGGGCTCCGTTCCACAAAGCTGTCGTAGCGACAAGGAAACTCGTAACTACCATACTTTTACAAACACTTTGTGGAACGGGACCCTGATCCTGAAACGGGAAATAGTAAGTATACCAAGTTAGAATGAAAACGCGACTCAGATTGTGTTGTCGCCGGACGTTTCTTATTTCGTCGTGAGTTAAAGGTGAACACCCCAACTCTCCAGGTCTTGTCGTGAGTTGAAGGTGAACACCCCAACTATCAAGGTCTTCTCGTGAGTTAATGGTGAACACCCCAACTCTCCAGGTGTTGTCGTGAGTTGAAGGTGAACACCCCAACTCTCAAGCTCTTGTCGTCAGTTAAAAGTGAACACCCCAACTCTCCAGGACTTGTCGTTAGTTAAAGGTGAACACCCCAACTCTCCAGGTCTTGTCGTGAGTTAATGGTGAACACCCCAACTCTCCAGGTCATGTCGTGAGTTGAAGGTGAACACCCCGACTCTTAAGCTCTTGTCATGAGATAAAGGTGAACACCCCAACTCTCCAGTTCTTGTCGTGAGTTAAAGGTGAACACCCCAACTCTCCAGGTCATGTCGTGAGTTGAAGGTGAACACCCCAACTCTCCAGGTCTTGTCGTGAGTGAAAGGTGAACACCCCAACTCTCCAGGTATTGTCGTGAGTTGAAGGTGAACACCCAAACTCTCCAGGTCTTGTCATGAGTTAAAAGTAAACACCCCAACTCTCAAGCTCCCCTTGAGTTAAAAATGAACACCCAAACTCTCCAGGCCTTGTCGTGAGTTGAAGGTGAACACCCCAACTCTCCAGGTCTTGTCGTGAGTTAATGGTGAACACCCCAACTCTCCAGGTCATGTCGTGAGTTGAAGGTGAACACCCCGACTCTAAAGCTCTTGTCGTGAGATAAAGGTGAACACCCCAACTCTCAAGGTCTTGTCGTTAGTTAAAGGTGAACACCCCAACTCTCCAGGGATTGTCGTGAGTTGAAGGTGAACGGCCCAACTCTCCAGGTCTTGTCGTGAGTGAAAGGTGAACACCCCACTCTCCAGGTATTGTCGTGAGTTGAAGGTGAACATCCTAACTCTCCAGGTCTTGTGAGTTAAAGGTGAACACCCTAACTCTCCAGGTTTTGTCGTGAGTTAAAAGTGAACACCCCATTTCTCCAGGTCTTGTAGTGAGTTAAAGGTGAACACCCCAACTCGCCAGGTCTTGTCGTGACTTAATGGTGAACACCCCAACTCTCCAGGTCTTGTCGTGAGTTAAAGGTGAACACCCAAACTCTCCAGGTGTTGTCGTGAGTTGAAGGTGAACACCCCAACTCTCAAGCTCTTGTCGTCAGTTAAAAGTGAACACCCCAACTCTCCAGGACTTGTCGTTAGTTAAAGGTGAACACCCCAACTCTCCAGGTCTTGTCGTGAGTTAATGGTGAACACCCCAACTCTCCAGGTCATGTCGTGAGTTGAAGGTGAACACCCCGACTCTTAAGCTCTTGTCATGAGATAAAGGTGAACACCCCAACTCTCCAGTTCTTGTCGTGAGTTAAAGGTGAACACCCCAACTCTCCAGGTCATGTCGTGAGTTGAAGGTGAACACCCCAACTCTCCAGGTCTTGTCGTGAGTGAAAGGTGAACACCCCAACTCTCCAGGTATTGTCGTGAGTTGAAGGTGAACACCCAAACTCTCCAGGTCTTGTCATGAGTTAAAAGTAAACACCCCAACTCTCAAGCTCCCCTTGAGTTAAAAATGAACACCCAAACTCTCCAGGCCTTGTCGTGAGTTGAAGGTGAACACCCCAACTCTCCAGGTCTTGTCGTGAGTTAATGGTGAACACCCCAACTCTCCAGGTCATGTCGTGAGTTGAAGGTGAACACCCCGACTCTAAAGCTCTTGTCGTGAGATAAAGGTGAACACCCCAACTCTCCAGGTCTTGTGAGTTAAAGGTGAACACCCTAACTCTCCAGGTTTTGTCGTGAGTTAAAAGTGAACACCCCATTTCTCCAGGTCTTGTAGTGAGTTAAAGGTGAACACCCCAACTCGCCAGGTCTTGTCGTGACTTAATGGTGAACACCCCAACTCTCCAGGTCTTGTCGTGAGTTAAAGGTGAACACCCAAACTCTCCAGGTCGTGTCGTGAGTTGAAGGTGAACACCCCAACTCTCCAGGTCTTGTCGTGAGTTGAAGGTGAACACCCCAACTCTCCAGCTCTTGTCGTGAGAGACAACATGCTAAATTAGATTGGTTGTCAGGCTCAGTGACTTGGTTGATTGCCTGTCATCGTAGCCCGGCGTTGTGGGACGTTGGTTATTATCAAATACTGGCCTGCTCTAGCGTGAATAATAAACACACAACACATAGAACGTTTTTGTTTGTTTTGTTTATTGTTTAACAGCGCACTCAGTAATAGTCCAGCTATATGACGGCGGTCTGTAAATAATCGAGTCTGGGCCAGACAATCCAGTGATTAACATCATGAGCATTGATCCGCGCAGTTGGGATCGATGACATGTATCAACCAAGTCAGCGAGCCTGACCACCCGATCCCGTTGATCTTTCGACAAGCTTAGTCGCTTTTTACGGCAAGCATGGGTTGCTGAAGACCCATTCTACCCCGGATCTTCACGGGTCTGGTGTCTACCTGATGTCATACACTGGGTCTGTACTGCTTCACTCCATGGTACGTGTTGTAGTAGGTCTCATCGTGTCATGATGACGACGTATCAATGTGGAAGAAGGCTGGTGGGGTTTACGTCATTCAGAACAGTCCTCCAAAATATATATTACCATTATAAGTTGTCAACAGTTCTAGAGGGGCATATGGTGTGATGTACCCTGTGTGTGCGCCTATGTACCCTGAGGCGTCAGGCTCACACACAGGGTACATCACACCATATGCCCCGAGAACGAATGATCTTACAGACATTCATTCACGCAGGACCTTATATGTCCGCATTTTCACTGAGTTTGTAAACCTCGTAGCAGACGAGGGCGCAAACGAACCGAGTTACTTCCCTTTACCCCATGCGTCTGCTAAACATCAGTTAATTTCAACTCATCGATGCTTATTCGATATATGCAGGTTACCTATGACGTGTTCCGATTGATTTCTTTGCAGGCTACATGAGTGGGCTATATATAAAATAATTGCCCTCTCCTTAACCAATCAGTGGCTAGTATTTTAATGTAAGGTGGGATCCAAACAAACGTCGCTCATACCTTAGGAAAGTTAGTCTCGATGTCATATAACCGGTCTTTGATTCAGTTATATTACAAACAGCATTCGCATCTTCATCACTAATTAAAAACCAACTGAGTAAGTTTTAAAGCCGCATCGAACGGCATTTCAATGGTATTTCAGATTGATGTGGGAGAAAAACCTGAGGTGATGCAGGTCTTAGACATTTACCATTTCGGTGAGACTCATGAGCACAGGTAAAGTGCTGACAAATCTAGAAACATGATTCAGGGCGGACCGCGATTCGAACCCACAAGGTTTTCAGCACGCTAAGGTGTGCAACTGTCTGAAGACGACTTGGCTCCCATTATACAAATTTCTAATGACGACTCGGCTCCCATTACACAATGTCTGAAGACGACTGGGCTCCCAATACACAATGTCTGAAGACGACTTGGCTCCCATTACACAATGTCTGAAGACGACTTGGCTCCCATTACACAATGTCTGAAGACGACTTGGCTCCCATTACACAATGTCTGAAGACGACTGGGCTCCCATTACACAATGTCTGAAGACGACTTGGCTCCCATTACACAATGTCTGAAGACGACTGGGCTCCCATTACACAATGTCTGAAGACGACTTGGCTCCCATTACACAATGTCTGAAGACGACTTGGCTCCCATTACACAATGTCTGAAGACGACTTGGCTCCCATTACACAATGTCTGAAGACGACTTGGCTCCCATTACACAATGTCTGAAGACGACTTGGCTCCCATTACACAATGTCTGAAGACGACTTGGCTCCCATTACACAATGTCTGAAGACGACTGGGCTCCCATTACACAATGTCTGAGGACGACTTGGCTCCCATTACACAATGTCTGAAGACGACTTGGCTCCCATTACACAATGTCTGAAGACGACTGGGCTCCCATTACACAATGTCTGAAGACGACTTGGCTCCCATTACACAATGTCTGAAGACGACTTGGCTCCCATTGCACAATGTCTAATGACGACTCGGCTCCCATTACACAATGTCTGAAGACGACTGGGCTCCCATTACACAATGTCTGAAGACGACTTGGCTCCCATTACACAATGTCTGAAGACGACTTGGCTCCCATTACACAATGTCTGAAGACGACTTGGCTCCCATTACACAATGTCTGAAGACGACTTGGCTCCCATTACACAATGTCTGAAGACGACTGGGCTCCCATTACACAATGTCTGAAGACGACTTGGCTCCCATTACACAATGTCTGAAGACGACTTGGCTCCCATTACACAATGTCTGAAGACGACTTGGCTCCCATTACACAATGTCTGAAGACGACGTGGCTCCCATTACACAATGTCTGCGTGTTCTATCATGTTCTCTTTTTGCTCCCTGTGTACAGCTCCAGCACCTTGTCGGGGGAAGTAGTGAGCAAGGAGGGCCGCGGCAACACAGTCTCCGCTGATATTCACCATGGTGATGACACGGCCCCTGGAAAAGTGAATCAGGGAGTATTGTTTTACGCCACTTATAACAATATACCAGCAATATCCCGGCGGGATACACCAGAAATGGACTTCACACAGTGTTACCATGTGGGAAACCGAACCCGGACCGGACAATCGAACGCTTTAACCACAAGGCTACCCACCTCCCAATGGAAAGACGTACATGGATATGGGGTAACCGGCTCTTAATCGCTTTTTGAAATCACCCGATATATTTTTTGCTTTGTTTGTTGTTTAACGCCGCACTCAGCAATATTCCAGCTATATGACGGCTTTCTGAAAATAATCGAGTCTGGACAAGACAATCCAGTGATTGACAGCATGAGCATCGATCCACGCATTTGGGATACGATGACATGCATCAACCAGTTAGTCGCCTCTTACGACAAGCACAGTCGCCGTTTACGGCAATCTTTGGTTGCTGAAGAGCTATTCTACCCCGAGTATTCACAGGTATCACCCGATATACCGAGCATTAAAACATTATATTGAGATAGGTATCATGGAAAGAATGAACCTCAATTTACCGATTGACAGGTAATACCGCGCACCCTTACTATTTAATAAGGACTTACAGGAGCCAGACAATGGGCAGGACGAAGTAGTCGTCATCAGGAGGCAGGCCGACGGCGGACATGATCACAAACAGCGTTACAAAGCCGCCCCCGGGGATCCCTGCCGAGCCAACGCTGGTCAAAGTTGTACATAAGCTGAAAATGAATAAAGAGTATGATTAAGTAAGATATGCTTATTGAAATGTAGCTGTACATATGGGCAAGTCTTTGTTTGTTTGTTGTTTAACACCGCACTCAGCAATATTCCAGCTATATGACGGAGGTCTGTAAATAATCGAGTCTGGACCAGACAATCCAGTGATTAATATCATGAGCATCTATCCGCGCAATTGGGATCGATGACATGCATTAACCAAGTCAGCGAGCCTGACCACCCGATCCCGTTAGTCGCCTCTTACGACAAGCATAGTCGCTTTTTACGGCAAGCATTGGTTGCTGAAGACCTATTCTAACCCGGATCTTCACGGGACTTATGACATGTCGGCCCGTTGTCAGGGGCAGGGTTGTTACGGCTGCGTCACGTTAACGCCGTTTATAAACCTATCACCGTATATATATTACCCTATATTGAATCAGGTCCCTGACAACCTCGGGTAAACCTTGTAACCAGCTCATCTTCCCAATCCAGGTTTAGAAGCGGTTCTCTTCCAGACCTAGGTTTTGAATGGGTCTCTTCTTTACCTCCTTAGAGGTTGTACTTTCAAGTGTAATACCTTGGTTTCACAAATTACGTTTTATGAACTTGCCTCCTGATGTGAACACATTTGTGTTCGGTAGTTAGTTATAAATCACAATTTCTTTTCACATGAAAATTCCATGACGTGAATCGAACCTGCAACATCACATATCGTGTTAAGTTTTGTAAGCCACTGTTTTCCAACGGAGCTAACGAGGCAGGTAAGAGTTGTTCAAATTATCATGTCATGACTCCTGGCTCGTTCATGCTGCACGTGTTTGTTCTCTCGCACGGTTTTAGCGAATTCCTTTAATACCGCGATACACTGTATTATTTCTCTATAAGGTATGTCGATGTTTTCTTATCTTGTTCTGGTATTTCTTGCATTGAGACGGTTCATAAGTTGGATAAAACACACCTCTTTGGCTTTGGTTGAAAATGTAAAAGCGTGATTTATCCTATACGTAAATGTTAAAGTGACTGCTGCCATGAGGTTTTGGTTACAGGAGAGGGTACAGAAATTAAAGGTTATGATGCCCGTCTTTACAAGTGAGTGAGTGAGTGAGTGAGTGAGTGAGTGCGTGAGTGAGTGCGTGCGTGCGTGCGTGCGTGCGTGCGTGAGTGAGTGAGTGAGTGAGTGAGTGAGTGAGTGAGGGAGGGAGGGAGGGACAGTATTCTAGTTCTATCACGGCGTGTAAGCTTAATGTGGGAGGACGAATGGCGGCCAAAAGACGTGATGTTGAAGAAAACGATCTGACAGTATGGGTCTTCTGTATCATTTCTTACCACAAAACCGAGTTTTCTACTTGCACTTTCAAAACACGAACAACAGGTCCTAGTAAAAACGCTGAAACATCTTACTTAAGGATCATGACTTATGCCTAACAGCGAGTCGTTAACAGATGGTAGCTTAACAATCATTCCATGCAAAACGAAACAAAATACATTTTTTATATTTCGGTTGGAACACTAGCAACGTTTTCTTGACAAGGGCCGTTAATTTATATGGAGTGTGGGATGTGGTTTCCCTATGACAGAAAACAACCCATGAAATACATAGCGTCTAATGGAGCGAGCTCCTTGTCGATCATATAGCTGGATGGCATGCTGTACTAAAATTATTTCGTCCATGAATGACTATTCCATCACGAATGATAAATGAAAAAGATTGAAGTTTAGTCATCAGTTGTGTATAAAAAATATTTAAAATATATGTCGGTTTGGTCTCAGGGGACCACTTTCTTTGTTATGATCAGGATTTAGCCAGGAATTCGTCTTCGATTATTGCAAAATACTAAATGTACATATCCCACTTCTTCAGTCCACTGGTTGGTCGGGTAGCCTAGTGGTTAAAGCGTTCGCTCGTCACGCCGAAGACCCGGCTTCGATTCCCGACATGGGTACAATGTGTGAAGCCCATTCTGGTGTCCCCAGGCGGGATATTGCTGGAATATTGCTAAAAGCGTCACACAACCATACTCACTCACTTACTCACTCTACAGGACACTAATTCGTATAAGTTACATTTAAAGCATCATTTTACATTTTTTGTACCTAACTGTTTGTAACTCAGTTAAATACCAGATAATGAAGATGTCGATGACGTTTAGAGGTATCGCATTCAGTTGTGCAATGAAGACGACGGTGACGACTTGGAAGATGGCGGTGCCGTCCATGTTGATGGTGACCCCTATCGGCAGCACAAAGCGGCAGATGGTCCGGTCAATCTTCAAGTTGTCTTCACAGCAGCGGACGGTCACCGGAAGTGTGGCAGCGCTGTTATAAACAATGTTCATCATGAATATACAATGCCGTTTAGAAAGGGTTAAATGTAAAGTGTTATTGAGTGAACTATGTTTAACGCCGCTTTTAAGAGTATTCTAGTTATATAACGGCGTGTCAGCTTACTGTGGGAGGAAAGCCCGAAGTGATGCAGGTCTCAGGCGTTTACCACTTCGGTGAAACCCACGAGCACGGGTATGGTGCTGACAAACCTAGAAACATTATCGGGGCGAACCGGGATTCGAACCCACAATCATAGGTTTCTGGCGCCTTAGATGACTGGGCCACCCGTGCTCCCTCAAATGTAACTTTGGGACAGTTCACCTCCGAAACCGCTTCGTCACGGCGACGCTAACTGCAGCGACGGCACTGCGGCACAGGATCAGTCGACAAACCGTGTACAGGAGATTACGAACCCATGGTATCAGAGCACATTGACCCTACCAAGGCATGTTGTTGACACCTCAACATCGCCTCGAGAGACTGATATGGGTCGGGAGACTTCGACGTTGGCAACTGCGTGACTGGACACGTGTTATGTTCTCCGATGAGAGCAGAGTTTGTCTCGATGGTCAGCAATCTGCTGTGACTTGGAAACCAGGCTCGTGGTTATTCATGGTAACATGAATGCACAGCGATATTGAGATTTAGTTTGGCGACCATTTGCGGAGCCATTCATCCAGCAACAGTCCCGTGGAATCATTTTCCAGCCCGACAATGCGACGCCGCATACGGCATGGTTGACGCAGAGCTCCCTTAACATCGCGAACATTCAGGTTTTACCTTGGCCGTCATGCTCGCCGGACATGAACCCAATTGAATTTTTGTGGGTTGGTTTGTTGTGTAACGCCGTACTCAGCAATATTCCAGCTATATGACGGTGGTCTGTAAATAATGGAGTCTGGACCAGACAATCCAGTGATTGATATCATGAGCATCGATCCACGCAATTGGGATCGATGACATGTATCAACCAAGTCGGCGAGCCTGACCACCCGATCCCGTTAGTCGCCTTTTACTACAAGCATAGTCACCTTTTACGGCAAGCATAGGTTGCTGAAGACCTATTCTACCCCGGAATCTTCACGGGTCTAAAATTATTTTGTCGGACTACCTCGATCGCTAAGTCACCCAGTGGCTCCGGTCAACTGCCAGGAAGTGGAACAATGCCTCCTTGCCGAATGGCAACGCATCTGACGTTTTACACACTTGCCTTGTCAGGTGTTATGACTGTGACTTTCATTGATGACCCCACGCGTCTTTGAGGGCCTGCCCGTCTGCTTGTAAACGTTTGATTGTAATCCTATCCGGGATTCAAACCCGTACTGCCAGAGTGAGGCATCTGATCGCCAGCACACAAGAGTGTTCTTGTTGTTAAACGCCGCACTCAGCTATATTCCAGCTATATGATGGCGGTCTGCAAATAATCGAGTCTAGACCAGACAATCCAGTGATTGATATCATGAGCATCGATCTACGCATTTGGGATACGATGACATGCATCAACCAAGTCAACGAGTCTGACCACCCGATCCCGTTAGTTGCCTCTTGCATATCATGTGTGATTGAGATTGCACATTGCTTGTTGGCACTGGTTCTCGCTACTGTTTGCGGGCATGAACACATTTCTTAAAAAGCATTTGGGTGTACTTGCATGTTGTTATTTTTATCATATCACATATCAGAAGCTATCAGCATTTAGCTTACCTATATTACGTAACCTGTATTCCATACGTACCAAATAACAAGCGTAACCATTGTCATGGTGATGTCATTGAGCGAGGTAAAGAATCTTAGCATCACTTCACTGGCCTTTCCTAGTCTTCCCAAACAGAGCCCGAACACGACACAGTACGCCAGTATACCTGTTGAACAGAGCACGAGCAGTCAGCGAGCGAGAGTTGTTTCAGGCCGCGGATATATATAACTGTATTTAATCGAGCCTGGGAAGAAAAACAGTGGTTGACAGCATGAGCAGCTATCAGTGAGCGAGTGATTGTTGTTTCGAGTGTGGACCGGACAATCCAGTGATTAGTATCATGAGCATCGATCTACGCAATTGGGATCGATGACATGCATCAACCAAGTCAGCGAGCCTTGCCACCCGATCCCGTTAGTCGCCTCTTACGACAAACATAGTCAGGATACACTTTTAAGTGATTGCGAAATCAGTGCGTATGTCCTGCCCTACCGGGAACGTGACCCGTGAAGATCCGGGGTAGAATAGGTTTTCAGCAACCCATGCTTACCGTAAAAGGCGACTATGCTTGTCGGAAAAGGCGACTAACGGGATCGGGTGGTCAGGCTCGCTGACTTGGTTGATGCATGTCATCGTATCCCAATTGCATGGATCGATGCTCATGATGTCAAGCACTGGATGTCTGTGCGTAAAACAAGAAACAAACAAACAAACAAAAAAAACGGGAACGTTGTCCATATGTTTGTCTGAGTTTCCCATCTTCCGCCAGCCCTGTATTTAATATCAAGTTTTCGCATCTCAATTTCCCCCATTACTGTGGAAATCTATGCCCTGATGTGATGAAAGGTTCACCGTCAAGCATATATTGCTTGACTGTGTGGACTTTGCAATCGCAAGGGATTCACATTATCAAAGCGTAAATCTGAAAGATCTCTTTTCCCGTGTCAGCGGGCATCTCATCTTAAATTACTTGAAAGAAATTGGTCTGTATAATAAATCTGAAATATGTATGTGAATAATTAAATGCTTGTTTTTAAATTTGGTGTGATGCTATTATCAACTGACATTACTGAAGGCTCTGTCCAGAGGGTTAAAGCATCCTAAAATTATTGTCCCCATGTGTGACACGTAATCCTATCATAATCGATGTAACTGTCATCAACCAGTGTTTTAAAGCCAACTCAGTTCCGAGTATTTTATAATATCGGCTAGCATCGGCACAACCACCAGTGGCTAAAGTGATGACGTAAATCCTGCTGGGTATCATGCAGGAAGCAGAGGTACTGATCCCCAGGGAGGTGGGCTAGCTTTGGTTACTGTTCCCTATAGCCCGTGTTTTAAAACTGTATACATCATATTGTTATGCTAAAATATGTTTCATAACTTGTGTTGAAATATAACTTTGCATAAATGACTGAACTGTTAATATATTAACTTGGTCTCGTCGCTCTATGGCTGGAATAATGCCGGTGCGACGTTACATTTTAACTCACTCACTCACCCCTGATGTGACAAAATACTACTACCATTGCACGTTCATTAAAAACCAAAGTCAGCTTGATCTTTCTTCAGCTATGTTTCTGAAGCAAAGCGACTCGGTCTACATCATCAAGTAATTTAAAGACTGGTTCCAAATGTTTGAAACATTGAAATATAATAACATAAATTACACAAGTAGTGAGAAAACATGGAGTTTTCGCCCGACTGCTCTCTTACTGGTTAACACGCCGTGATATAACCGAGATATTGTTCAAAGTGGCGATAAACTAAACGAATTATCAAAGTCATGATCAGTGTCTGTTTAAAGTAAATGTTCTCTCACCGATTGTGTTCATCCCTGTCACACAAACACACTTCTGTTCCCAGTGTGCCGGCCTCTGTGGCCTCAGTCCGGTGGTATTGGGGGTTAGTATATCCTCCAAAGAAGCATTTCTCCCAGGTCCCTGTACGACATGGGAATTATTCACGACACTTCTGTCCATGTAAACATACTTTGTCTCTGTTTGCTGAATGGCTGCCTGTACGATATTTTCCGGGACGACGTTTCTGAAAAGGATTTCCGAGTACTATAACATGTTTCTTGTCTAAGTTAAAGAGTTTCACAAAGTTAAAAATATGAAAGATAATCATTGTTGATACTAAACGGTGTGATACCAATACCAAATACCTATTTGTGAAAAAAAATCATGATTTTACGTGGCTTCGACCACGTTAAATACATTTTTTTACAGATTTCAGTGTTAAGCGCCGCACTCAGCAATAGTCCAGTTGTATGACGGCTGACTGTAAATAATCGAGTCTGGACCAAACAATCCAGTGACTGATATCATGAGCATCGATCCACGCAATTGGTTGGTTGGTTGGTTTGTTGTTTAACGCCGCACTCAGCAATAGTCCAACTATATAACGGCGGTCTGTAAATAATCGAGTCTGGACCCAACAATCCAGTGAATGATATCATGAGCATCGATCCACGCAATTGGAATCGATGACATGCATCAACCAAGTCAGCGAGCCTGACCGCCCGATCCAGTTAGTCATCTCTTACGACAAGCATGGTCGCCTTTTACGGCAAGCATGGGTTGCTGAAGATCTATTGGCCTCAGTAATGTAACATTTGTTACAAACTAGCCAATTAACACTGAGCAATACATTATAATGTCCAGTGAATAATAACTGTTTGATTGTTGTTTAACGCCGCACCCAGCAATATTCCAGCTATATGACGGTGGTCTGCAAATAATAGAGTCTGGACCAGACAATCCAGTGATTGATGTGAAGAGCATCGATCCACGCAATTGGGATACGATGACATGCATCAACCAAGTCAGCGAGCCTGACCACCCGATCCCGTTAGTCGCCTCTTACGACAAGCATAGTCGCCTTTTACGGCAAGAGTGGGTTGTGAAATAACTGAAAATAATTTCACACATACCCAGGACCCAATAGGCATGTTACATATTTGGCAATTGTGTTGATATAAAATGAAACCTGAGGAGATCCAGAAAAGCATCCCTGGGAGAGAGATGGGAAGCTGCTCCAGCCTCCTGTGTGGTGGACTGCATCATGTTTCCCCGTCCCGGTCTGATGGCGAGGACGAGGGTGAGGCCGACAACCAGGGCCACGACGGTGTTGCTGATGTAGTAGGCGAGCGTCACGACACCCATTTTACCAGCTGACTTGCCATCCAGATTTGCGATTCCTTGAACATTAACATCGTAACAAACATGGCCCAGGTCCTTACGCCAACGATTCAAAACACAGGAGTAACAAGCATGAAATACTCTTATCCCCCGCCAATATGACATGTCCGGT